TCTGTCTGTCTGTCTATCTATCTCTCTGTCTGTCTGTCTATATCTATCTATCTATCTATCTATCTGTCTGTCTGTCTGTCTGTCTGTCTATCTATCTATCTATCTATCTGTCTGTCTGTCTGTCTGTCTGTCTATCTATCTATCTATCTATCTGTCTGTCTGTCTGTTCTATCTATCTTCTATCTATCTATCTATCTGTCTATCTGTCTATCTGTCTGTTTGTTGTGGAAACAGTGATACTTTTTTCAGGTACTTTTTTACGAAGAGAAAGTTTATCTGTAACACTATAAATGTCTTTACTGTCGCTCTTGATTTAATGCATCCTTTCTCAATAAAAGTATTAGTTTAAGCTTGCTGACCCCAAACTATTAAATGCTAGTGTAATGGTTTCCACAATGTTTTCAACATTGATAATAATCGGGGGTTTCGAGCCCCTGCCCCTTTAATCGCAGACGCTAAAGTGGCCTTTCAGTCTGATCTAGGACAGCGATTTCTACTGAGAGGGGAACTTTTAGTTCACTTTGACCTGTTCTATTCACCCATGTCAGCAGAATAATATATGTGCTCAGTGTGTGAAGCTCCTGGTTTATAACAGCTGTTATGTGAGTGAGAGAGTTCAGCCGTGTTGGTGTCTGTTGTCACACACAGAGAACACGTCCAGCTAATGCTGCTTTGGTAGTTTTAGGATGAGGAGTCAGGAGAAGAGCGGGATGATGAAACACATCTCCATCCAGCTGAGCTCATCTGTGCATCACTTCACCTTTCTTCTGCAGGACGGCGCTGCCGCTGCCTCGGCCGATGTGGTTCTCCACGGTACAGGTGTAGTTGCCCATGTCTGTCTCCTCCACAGCGTCAAAGATCAGCGACAGCTCCACCTCCTTCTCCCCCAGAAACTCTCGCACCACCCTGAACACACACACATGTTCAGATCAGCACACTTTCAAGCTACTCAGACCGTTTCTGCAGAATGACACATATGTTAATGATACACTTGCCAGGATAAAACAGAGCATGCTGTGCAGATTCTGAATCCCATCATGCTCTTCTGTTTTCAGTGTGTCTAATGAATCAGAACATCAGCAGCAGTTTGTAACGTCTCCTTCTTGACTCATTCTTTGACAAACAGCCAAGGGTTGAGATATTTTTACTCTATATTGAATTGAGAATGCCAAATAAATGGAACATTGATTTAAATGTCAATTAATGTTAATCTAACGGCCAAATGTACAGAAGATCTGAATGAAACAAGGAGAAATATAAAGGCTTTAATAAATAGACTGAACAAACATGTTTTATATTTCAGTCTGAATGTTTCCAGACTTTCATTTCTCACAATATTTTTAAGGCTCTTGAGTTGAGGATGAACTGCTCTCTTTAGATCTTGCGCTCTCATTCTCTCTCATTTGAACAGATGTGGAGTCAAACTTCCACAAAACAACACTGGGACCAAATAGCTTCTGTATTTCAGATATAGATTTTTTTTAAATGACAGCTGAATTAATTTTCATTGAGAACTATCAACTGTACAAATGAAGAGAGGTGAAGCATCCATATGATATCAGTCCTATTAAAACATACCCAGCATGCTTCATGTTGCTACAAATGAGAGCCCGACTCAAACATGCAGAAAAAATTATGATTCATACTGTACTGATATTTTATGATTATTTATATAAATAATATAAATAAACAATATACATATTTACATTAAACAATCAATTCAATCTTTTGAAATGTCATCCTTTCAAAACGTATTAAAGTTACAATAAATACAAGAAACTGTTCGACATTTGTTCCCCTCAACATGAGTGACACAGTTATAGTATCCAGCGCTCTAAATGGGGACACACCATAAATATGAATTGTTTTACTGTATATAGAGATAACTGTACTGAAAACACACAGAACAATCTGAAAATCAGAGTTTTCTGAGATTACAGAAAATCTTTCAAAGGCTTAGGGGGAAAAATAGATTATTTTAATGTTTCAGAAAGGTGTCTCTCTAATGTTGAATTTAATTGTTTCAAATAGAGTACCAACATAAATATTTGTGAAATAGTATTATAATTTAGTCTATTTGATAAATAACAGTTTAAAAGAAAAGCATCTATGAATGATGAACATCAATGTATGTGTGTGTGAGAGAGAGAGAGAGAGAGAGAGAGAGAGTGTGTGTGTGTGTGTGTGTGAGAGAG